CCATAGTAGAAATCGATCCAGCATTGCCTAAGTTTTGAATCTTTCAGAAGCTAGAAACTCAGAGAAATTTATGTCCCACAATTCAAAAAAAAAAACAACAAAAAACTAGTAAACAAAAACAGTCAAAGGGCTTTACCAACATCCCCCAAATCTCTGGTAACGTGCAATATCATGTGACACCAGGAGCCTTCTTATGATTGGCGAGTGACTTCTTATGATGAATTTTAATAGAATTACAGGGTTGGAAGGCCAATCCCACCACTTAAGGCTGGAATCCCCCACTTTATCAGACCCCTGGCCCAGGGTGATGACCCCCACTCCGTGTCACCTCTCACACAAATCTGAATGTATCCTCGCCGCCTCCACTATATCCTACAAATACCCAGAGGCACCATGAAACCAGATAAAACAGTCAGCTTCTAGCACCAGTCCTCCAAATGCTCTTTTCCCCTTGTTCCCTCAGTGGACGACTATACTGTTCACCCAGCTACCGAAGCCAGAAACCTGCGGGTTATCCTCCCATCATCCTCAGAACCTTCCTATCAGATCAGCTACCAAATCTTGATAATAAAAACAGAGAAAGTGAGGTGGGTTTCACTCACTCTAGTTTATCCAGATGATAGTGGAAATTCCTTGTGTAAAGGGAAGTGTTTTCACGTTAAAAAAAAAAATGTTCTATCATAATTCTGCCCCCTCCACATTAATCAGCTTGTCTACATCTCTCCATTCCCACTACCAATAATTTATTTCAGGCCATCTCTTGCCTAATTACTAGACTGGCCACTCCCTTCCCCCACTCGATTTTTTGCTCCCTTCAATTCATTCTGCCTTTAATTCAGCAAATCCCTAGTGGTCACCCTAGAATGCAGACCTGGTGATGTTAGTATGATGACCACACCGAGGCAGCACTATAAGCTCAAACCAGACCACGGCGTCCTGCCCCGGCCTATCTCCTTGCCCTGCTCTTCTCCCCACAGCTGACCTCCACGCGCAGCTGGGTGGAATTACCTTCCCGTCTCCTAATAATTATGGTGCCTTTGCAAACGCATCTCTTTCTGCCTGAAGGTTCATCTTCCTAACCAGACCCAGATTCCCAGTGTTTGGCTAAGCAGTGCCTACAGGTTTGCAGAACCTCAGCTCCACCACCATCATCACCGTGATTATCAATAGCATTTACTAAACTCTCAGTATGTGTAAAGGCTTTTCGGTATATTTCATCTCCACAACCACCTTTGGAGGCAAGCGTTGTTACCACTAGTTTTGGCGGTGAGGACACTTAGACGTCACTACCGCCAAGCGCCCCCCCCCAGGAGTCCCCTGAGAGGGGCGAGCGGTGCTGGTAAGTCCCCCCATGGTTCTCCATGTTCTCGTCGTTCTTGGCACCCACCAGACCTCATTGCGACTGCTGTCCTGTCTTGCCCGGCACACACTAAGTTCCTGACTCTGGAAGGCTCAGGAGACTGTGCCCCACTTACAGCTGCATTTCCCGCCCTCAAGACAATGCCTGCCAAATAAACCGTTGCTGACCAAATTAAGAAATGACTGAATGATCTTTGAGTCGTTCAACATTTGAGTGTTTTCCTTTGAACACACAACAGGTTGTTTATAAACATCACCAATTACTGTCATTTCTGCCCTGCTGGGAGACCATCTAACTCATATATTAGAAAAGGATGGGCAGGAAATAGCTGGAAACAGATTGGTAAATTATCAGTCAAATCTAAGTGATGGCCAAATATCTCTCCTGATTCAAAGTGCCTGGCTAAGCCTCTTGCATCCTGTCTCAGAGTCATTGCCTGCTGGCAACCCCTACCTCCTCCTGTAACCAGGTACCCACCCAGGGGCCTGTGCATTCATCCATCAGCTAGCAAGATGGCTGACGTTGAGATATGGAAATAAACAAGGCTAAATCCTCTCGTCTGGGAAGTGTCCAGTAATTTGCCTGGGCCAAGAAAGGGCTCAATAAATGTTCGTTTGTGCCCCACACCCTGCTTGGACAGGGGCAGGACTGCTTTCCCACCAGTGTGGGAGCTGCAAGCTGTCATCTTTCCTAGGCAAACTCTTTGCACCTTTTTCATTGTAAAAATAGCACTGCAACAGTCTCATGACCAGCCCAAACTTGACTTTACAAAGGAAAACCCTGCTCTTTTCTACAGGCTGAGTCCCAACCAACCTTTCCTCCTTGGCTAAGAGTTGAACTTACTTGCAAGGGCATAATTTATTAAGAAGGAGATTCTAGTAGTAGAAACAAATTTGGACACTTGTGTCAAGTTGAGGATCATGGGAAGCAGGCTTAGACAAAAAGGAGCTTTCACAATGGCTCTGGCAGCCTCCTCTCCCCGCTGAAAGGAAGGAGGGGGCTGAAAGCAGCAAGGAGACAGGGTCCGTGGGGTGCGCCCCCAGGTCCTCGGCTGAATTCCACCCACAGCCCGTGTCTCATGCCTGCATGGGGGTCTAGGGAAACGCACCTGCAAAGCAGAAGTCCCGCTGGCATTTAACACCAGTGGGGAACATACGTGGGCTCAGTGCCCAGAACAGGTCAGCAGGTCCTCTTATAATGTCAAGCAATCACCCCTGTAAAGGGCATGAAGAGTCAAGCACACATTTGTAATAATAAGCATAGAATCTTATTGGAAACTTTCAGCTCCTTTATAAAGATAAAGTTTGTCAGACATCTACAGAATCCATCATCATGGCATCCTGAGAGGAAAGGTATACAACTTTACATGAAAGCTAGGCTATGCCTAAAGTGATTTTTAAACTTCTCAAAAACCTAGTAAAATTAAATTCCCTACATAACACTACTAAAAGGGAACACATGCTTACTACACAAAACAAAAATGGACTATCATTGTTCAGGGTCAAAACCTAACACTTTCTTTAACAATAAAATTTATGCATAAGAACATTTCGGTGAAATATAAAACACGTTTTTCTCCTCTTAGTTTCAACAGTCTTTTCTAATACCCAGGAGGAGGAGAAAATGAAAAACAAAGACCGGCTAGTCTGTAACTAAATATCCGGGGAGAAAATTTACCTGTGAGCTATTATGCAACTCAAGGGATTATGAAATGCAGAAACAAACATGTCAACATATTCGTCAGTAGTTCAGGGAGGAGGAAAGACCTCTCTCAAACTAAGATATCATCGTTTGGGTGGCGCATAATGAAGGAAGCTCTCTAAAATGTCAAATCTAGAAAATATGCCACCTAGAAATAAGTGACAGTGATTCACAGTGATACTAAAAATAAGAATCAAGTTGCAAAATCTACACTCAGTGACTTTGGGGTATCAATGCATCTCCCATGAAAAAGTGTACTTTTATCAAAAATGGCGATTTCAATATTTTTTGAGGAAAAACAAAAGAATTGAGGTCACCAGCATCTGTTCTTGTTGGGGGAGAACCAAATATGTATGAAGATAAAGGCAAGTGTGTGATCAGACTTCTGCTGCCCGTCTATCTGCGAAGCTTTCGGCACCTTTATCAGAAGCCGTACAGCACAGACGCTTTTGATATTAGGTCTCTGGGTGCAGCTCTCAAAACCATTCTTTGTTCCATTCTTACTGCATTGCCAGACTGCGCCCAATAGGCGGTCTAGAGGGTGACTTTCAGATATGTGCTATTAATATGCCCAAAACTGTGGCTGCAAAGGGGGAAAAAAAACATATTAATTGAATCTCTTCTTATTCGAAATGTCACAAATACATTTTCTGTATCTTAAAGCAACATGAAATGATTTGTAAAACCATGTGACATCTTCAGCTGCATAAACCTATGTTATCTATTGTTATTAAAAGTAATTATTTTCTTACAACAGTTCAACAGAAACTACATATAGTAACTGTAGGTCAAGAATTCAAAAAAGGTTGCAATCTTGTGTTCATTTACCTGGTCTTCCGGTTAGTACAGTAATGATCGTTAGGAACAGTTTTATATCAATACTTCATGTTTTCACATTTCTTTGTAATTCTCTTTGAAATATTTTTGTCATAACTGTTCTTTTGGAAAGGTCACTATTATTCACATCTTATAGGCATCATATAGGGATAATAATAGTACCTACCTCAAAGGACTGTTTCAGAGATTCATTAGACCATCCACATTAAGTACATGCTTTGTTTCTTGAGGGCTCAAACACGTCAACTATTATTCATATGCAAAAGTACTACCGATTGTATTAAGATTATCAGAAGTCCATTCAAAGCAGGCCAAGCAGGTTCGGATCTTCTTCTAAAACTTGAAAGTTCTTCCAAAAAATGGAGATACCAGTGCTTAAATAAATAAGCTGACCCACCTGCTTGGAATGCACCTTCCTTCCTCACTCCCAACTGCTAACTGCTGCTGGGCTAATTCCGACTTTCCAGGTCTTGGCTTAGACTATTCTTCTCCCAAGGGTGAGCAGCTCCGAACCCCTGCCGGGTCTGGGTGCCATCACATACGCTAGGTGCTCCTTCCACATGCGCATCACGACTGCCTGCTTTGGTGTCTCTGCCACGACACTAAAGCTTCGTGAGGGCAGGATCGTGTCTATCTTTATGCGTGACATTCTTAGTGGTCAGGCGATGCTACAACACAGTGGGTGCTCAGCGAACAGAGGACCTGTGGGATCTGAACCAGCCTGGCTGGTGCGGGAAGGAGAGGCTTTCACCTAGTGTGCGTGGCGCTGCCAACCTGAGAGGTCTGGCAGCAGGTGGAGTCGTGGGGCCCTGAGGGCAGCAAGGCTGGTGAAATGGGATGCGGTGTGGAAACAGCACAGGGGAGAGGGGAGAGGCTCTGGGGGCACTCTGAGACTGTGTGGCACCAGCAGAGCCCCACCCAGGTTCACTGATTCTGGTATCCAGGTACCAGCCCTGCAGCTGGGGGCTGAGAGCCTGCGCCCGCTGCACCCGGGCCCAGGCTAACAGATTTCTGACCAGCGTATGAGAATGAAATGCAAGCCAGGGGCCCTGCTGGCTGGAAGGAGAGACTCCCATCCAATCCAAGGCCTCAGAAGACTTACCGGACAGTTGGGCTGTTCTGTGCCCATCTGGCCTGGCACAGCATTGCAGTGCTGAGGCCGGGACGTGGGGACTCCTGGTGTGGCCGATGGAAAATGGACTGAACTGCTCTGATTTGCCACTGTAGCATCGTAGGCAGGGCTGACTCTGGAGTAATATCTGACAGCATGGAAGGTACTGAGAGAGAGCGCCGGGCTGGGAATTTGAGGTTTATGCATCTCACCAACAGCGGTCTCTGAGGTGGAGCTGCACTGACCTTTAATTAAAAAGGAAACAAATACCTGTCAATATACACAACTCTGTAACCGGGAACTACTGCATTTGAAATAAAGTGTTCTCCAATTCATCTCCTCACGTTATAAACTTTTACTCCTGCTACAAATTAGTGGAATAATGATGTGAACTTCTTAGTTAAGTACATTGAGTGCAATACACACACTTTAAATTAGTGTTTGTGTGCATTTTAGAGGAGAACCTGATCTCTGTGACTTTGGGTATGTGTGTGTGTCTCTGTGTCTTTCATCAAACAAATCAAAATTGTGACCATCCCTATGAAATGAGAAGAATGTTGGAAAGAACTCCATTCAGCCACAGAGAACGTTTGCTCAATTTTCTATCAAACAAGTGGGTTATATCATTATATAGCTATATTCTGCAGTAACTAGAAGGCAGCTAAATTTTTAATGCATGATTGTTAATGTAATCTAACACTGAATATTTACCTATCTTTTGGACATTAATAATAATGAAGCATAATAAAAATATGTCTACTTTAAATACCAATGTGTCTGTAATATTTGTAAAAAACCATTTCAGCAAATGTGTGTACAGAGATTTACAGAAAAGGTCAAGGAAAGACGACTAATGAAATCTAAACCCTGAACGAAGTCAGCACTTATGTGCTACAGGTCAGACCTCAGCACAGAGACACCGTGGCCTCAGGCAGTCATGCAACTTCTCCAGCCTTCAGTGACTGACCTGCGTGGTAGGAACGAAATCTGAGACTTTCCTGATCCCAGCTGTTCCAGTCCTCTCTCAAACACAATTCCGCAACACGCACTACAGGCTGGGTTGGCTGGGTAGGGCAAGGCCTAATATTGCTAATATTGCCTTTCAAATGGAAACATGTATACAAATAAAAGTAAAGTGGAGGTTTTGACTCAACGGCCTGCCAGGCCCCCTCTGAACGCCCACACGTCTATGGTCTCCCCCAAGAGCAGTCACTATAGGCAATGTGATACCAAGAGATGCCGGGGCACAGGGGGCCTGAGCTCAGTGCCATGGGGAGTCCTTCGGGGTCTATGCAGAGTATAAACAGGGAGGATGCAGAAGTAAGTAATGATGCATAAGCAGGAACACTGATGGGCAGATGCCTGTGGCCTGACCTCTACCTGATTTCATCCGGGTTGATTCGATCATTCTGAGCAACGTTTGGCCGCAGCTATTCTGAGTAGATTGACCATGGCTAATGGCTACTTTTTTTCCTATTCTCCTGCCCTGTCCCCCAAGTCTAAATGGATGGATAAAACCCCCTGAGGCTTGTCTGGTGGTAGGAACAGGGAAGGTTCTATTGGGGCCCCTTTCTCTTTTGACTCTGGCACTGTGCCCAGCCACCCCATGCATTCCCGTGGTTTCCACCATGTCCCACTAAGATGCACAGTCCCTCTGCTGGGGCCACTACAGAAATGATGACTTGTTTCTGTGACCCCCTGTGCTACCGGCCTGTGGATCCCATAGGAGTAAGAACAGTATTTGTTCCTCCTCTTGTCTCCATCTTGCAGGCAGAGACATTTAAGCCGAGAACCGAGGGATGAACTGGGACGCAGGCAGGCAGAGTGCAGGAAAGGGGCTCCCAGCACGGAGGAGGTGCCGAGGGAGGGCGGTCAGCCGAGGGGCGCCTCAGCCTTGGACACGGGGAGGCAGGCAGGCGTGTCCTCTCGTCCAGCACCTCACATGGGGGGGACCAGCTCAGTCCCTCACTGGGGCCTCAGTGGACAGTGACCCTCGGAAACACGGGCGTCACACACTGGTCACCGTGTTCGCTCTGGCTCTGCTATTGTCCATCTTCTTCTTTCTACAAGTACATGGGCGTGCCTGACTTTGTAACACGAGTAACAGAAATGCTGTGCAGGGCGAATGTTTCATGATGAACACTCATACAGTGAATGTTCCTTGAAGGCCTCAACGTGCTGGCCATTGTTCTAGAGCCTCAAAATACAGCAATGCATAGGTGAAAAACAGTAATTTTACTGTCTTTATGGAGTTGATATTCTAGTGGGAAAGGACAGGCAATAAAAACTATGTGAGTAGACAGTAGCAGAAAGTGGTAAGTCTACGAAGAAAAATACAGCAGAGGAAATGGACCAGGAGTCCCCTGCTTGCACAGCGCCGGGGAGCAGTGGGCGGCTTTACTCAGGTTGCTGAGAAAGACATGCTGGGAAGGTGACGTTTAGTCGAACACATGAAGGAGGGAAGGAAGTTACATGTTACATGCTTGATACATGGCACTGGATTACTAGGAGCGCCTCCTTTCCCTCTAGATTCTGTCCGTATGGGGAGTACGTCGGGGTGTTGATCACCCATCAGTAAGATGAACTCTCTACAGCACAACCACACGCAAAAGAATGAAACCCGACCCCTATCTTACACCAGACACAACAATCGACTCAACGCAGATTAGAGACTTCAATGTAGGACCTGAAGCCATAGAATTCCTAGAAGAAAACAGGGAGTGAGCTCCTTGGCACTGGTCTTGGCAATGATTTTTTGGATTTGACACCAAAAACAAAGACAACAAAAGCAAAACTACGACATCAAACTACAAAGCTTCTGCAGAGAAAGGACACCACGGACAGAATGAAAAAGCAGCCTATGGAATGGGAGAAAATACTTGAAAATCACATATCTAATACGAGGTTAATACCCAAAATATGTGAAGAACTCAAACAACTCAACAGCAAAAAAAAAAAAATCCGATTTTAAAACGGTCAGAGGATCTGAGTATTTTTCCGAAGAAGACATAAAGATGGCGAAGAGGTACATGAAAAGGTGCTCAACATCATTAATTATTGGGGAAACCTAAGTCAAAAGCACAGCTAGCTTTGACTTCACACCTGTCAGAATGGCTCTTATCAGAAAGACAAGAGATACAAAGTGTTGGCGAGGCTGCGGAGAGAAGGGAACCCTGTGCACTGCTGGGGGACATGAACGCTGGTGCAGCCACTATGGAAAACAGTACAGAGGTTCCTCAAAAAATTAAAAATATCAGTACTTTATGATACAGCAATTCCACTTCTTGGTATTCATCTGAAGAAAAGGAAAACACTAACTCAAAAGATAGCTGCATCTCCATGTTCACAGCAGCATTATTTACAATAGCCAAGATATGGGAAAAATCAGGGTCCACGGATGGATGATGGATAAACACGTGGTACATACATACACAATGGAATATTATTCAGGCATAAAAAAGAATAAAATCTCACCGTTTGTGCAACATTAGTGGACCTTGAGGACATTTTGCTAAGTGAAATGAATTAGTTAGAGAAAGACAAATACTGTATGATCTCATTACATATGGAATTTCAAAAAAAACACCCCAAAACAAAACTCAAAGATATAGAGAACAGACTGGTGACCACCAAACCAGGGGGCTGGAGTTGGCAGAAATGGGCCAAGTCATTCAAAAGGTACAAATTTCCAGCTATAAAATAAGTTCTAGGGAGGCAACATGCAGCAGGGTGCATAAGGCGTGGTGACTACAGTTGGTCCCGCTGTACTGCACATGTGAAAGCTGAGAGACTGGATCTGAAAAGTTCTCATCGAAAGAGAAAAAATGTACAGTGATGGATGTTATATAGACTTATTGCAATGATCATTTCACAATGTATATAAGTAAGGAATCATTACGTTTCAGTCCTGCAACTAACAGAATGTTGTATGTCAAATATACATCAATAAAAAAAAAAAAGATGAGCTTTCTGGTAATGCTGGTCAATTCTGAGCCCAGTTTCTGGGCCAATACCCTGTAAATGCCTGTGGCTTGTGTTCCTCGAGCAGACAGCAGAAGGACTCACGCGGTCACCTTCCAGCTACACTCCTGGCCCTTGTGCGTGCCGGGCCCATGGCTGGGAACACACAGGGGCCGAGGGGCACGCAGGGCACCCACGCAGGCCCACGCACACGGCAAGCACACAGGTGTCCAGCGGAGCTCACCTCTCACGGCTTCCTCCACGGAGCCCCCAGGGGCAGGGACAGAGTAGACATTGAAGCACTTATTAGCCAGGAAGCTGATCCCTCTTGCAGGTGAGTAAGTGCTTGTCAACACACTATTTTCCCTTAAAAGGACAGAAACAAAAAAAAACACTTTTCACATTTTTCAAGAAAGGCAACATGAACGTGGCTGAGTTCAACTGTT